ATAGTAATAAGAATGAACCAGGAAATATTAATACTTAAATACGATTTATAATAATTTTGAAAAATTTAAGAATATTATATGTACAAGCAAAAAATTACACCATCGTTTATCACAATTTTAATAATAAAGAAGAAACTAGAGATTATTATCGATCTCATAAGACAGATTGTTAAATTTAGGAAAGAAAAATAACAAAAGCACGCTTCATTTATCTTGTATTATTAAAAGCACATTGATAAATTAACGCCGCAATTAATACCGCGTGCGTTCTTGCCGACCTAATAAATAAAACACTCACGTCCGCGTGTCTCAATCGGATTTCTGTAATAATATTAATGAAAATTAATTCGCCACATGCAAATGTATTTACATGTTGTAGTATCAAACATGATATAACGGTCTCAGCCGATTAGCAACGCGTTTTATATGCATCACGCTCTATATTAAGCTCCAGCAGACACCACCGCGAGCAACAAATACCTATCTCCGTAATAAATATATCGCGGATCGATAAAGTGCAACGTACACGTACGGTTTATTAACCCACTTTCCCGATTCCATTCTATCCTTGAAGCGTCAACATCGCCAACAACTCGGTGTAGCCACCGAGTGTGGTGCTTCCAATGTACGCTCGTATATTCAAAGCCAGAAAATTCACGACGGTGCGTGATCTCAACAATAGCCTTGTAACACAATAAACACTTCCTTATTGCGTGATATATCACAGTTTGATATTTCGAAATGAAGACTAAGTAATCTCAATCGTTTCTCAAACATGCAAAATTCTTCTCAAGTACGGCAAATGGAATAATTTTAATTGCAAATTAAATGAATGTACGTTCTAAAAAATACGGATGTGGATTTAAAAACTACAGGTTTGAAAGTATGGTGTTAAGTCCATATGATGTCGTGTTTATAGCAACACGAGAATTGCATGAACACCGTATGGCGTTAAATCCACATGTATAAATTTTTTTAATCTGGGAATAGCCACCTGAGATATCTCAGCCGTAAAAAATGTAAACGTAATTGTTATAAAACATTGCTTTACATTATTTAACAATTCTTGCTTTTCTTGTTTAATAACTATTCTTTAGCCTTTAAATATGCAATTCGAAAATCCATAATAAAAAAGCTTTGTATCAAAATCTTTATTTTGTAAAAATGCTGTCGTAATAAGCTACTTAACGCGTTTATTCCGTTTAATATTTGCTTGCGTTCTATTTATTTGTTTTAGAAAATTTTAATTAAATCCATATCGGTGATGCTCTCAAATACTAATAAATCAGAAAAGTATCAATAATATGCAATACATCTTAATAACAGTCATTTAATTGAAGTATAAAAATACTCCAGATGATCGTTTACGTAAAAAAAATTAGACTGCCCGGATTAAAATATAAAAACAAATATCGAGATATGATGAACTTTACGCTCTACATTATGCAACTTAAAAATCTTAAATATACTCGGCGGCGCGGATAATCAATCCATTTGCAGGTGAGAGCTGTTATTATTTAAATTTCCTCTCGCTGTGCGCGCTGTTAATTTTATCGAGTATAACAAAGATCGAGTGCTCACCGTGCGAAATATTCGATGGTTCAAAATTTTGTATTTTGCACTCACACGAACAGCTATATGTATATTCGTTTTTTCGTCTGATAAAACTGACAATTGTATCGCCATGCCGGAAGAAACCTGCGGCTCGAGTATCACGCGCATTCATATCGACTCACCGTGCGTCACTGTATGAGTAATAAATAAAGTCATCGCCAATCATACCGTGATTTTAAATGAAGGCTGCTTATATTACCATCGTCCACTTTGTCTGTCATCCTGCCTCGTATACCGTCATTCTCCTAGGCCTGTCTTTCCTTTTCAACGGCGTGCGACACAGTACATTGTTCCCCTTCATTTTGTAGGTACAGAGTGCACTGATTTCGTTTTAATCATACACTGAGAAAAATGACCTGGTTGGATTAAATAGTAATTCTGGTGGAAAATGGACAAATCAGAATTTTCTGGTTAAATCTTATTTGTATTAAAATTCTAATTGAAATAACTAGAATTCTGATTGATATAATTATTCTGGTAAAAATAAGAATTCTAGTAAATTTTACCAGAAATATTGCATCAACCAGAATTCCGATTATCTCAACTAGAATTCTAATCAATTTAACCAGAAAATTCTGATTCGTCCATTTTCAACCAGAAATTTTTTTCAGTGTAAAAAAAATGTTAACAGAAAGCCAAATAAAGTACAATATTGCGTTACTTGGATTCAGTCTGATATTTGACAAAAAGGGGAATCAAACTTATTTAACTTAGTAACGCAGTTCGAACTTAATATTAAACCCATCGGCTTCGTGTAACGTATGAATTTATATAGACGTATAGTCTGGAAGTTGATACTCTAGTTTCGAAAGTGAAACTCAACTAAAAACTGTAATCAGCTGTTATCAACTCTGACACTCGCATAAAAGTGCGCGGTAGTTACATAAATACGGTTAGTTGAGAAAGAATAAAGTTAAAAGATACAAGATAAAGACGAAAAGTCTTTAAAAACGGAAATGTCAAGTTTCGTTGATAGAAATATTATTAAGCTGAATTTGAAATTCTAAATAATTTTTTCTAATGTTTCAAAATTACTTAGACTTCTCAAAATATTATCTCTATCTGTATTATAATATAAAAAAAAATAAATATTATAATTTAAAAAACGATAATTATGTTATTTTAATAGATACGCGTAAATTTAAATCGCGTAAATTTAAAATTGCATAAATATTCACATGCATATTTTCGATATTTCGATCATAAAATAAAACTACGTCTAGACAAGAGTAGAAGTATATATACCTATAATAAAATCCCCCACATTTAGATTAAAAAAATTAACTTTAGAATGTGAAACAATGAACTAAATCTTCCATTACAATCCGTTTGTGTTGCACGTTTTTTTATTTTCTACGCTCGTTTGGCTTATTTTTCCTCCTGTTCGAGTCAGGCACGACGTCCATTTTATTTTAAATACACAAAGATATAGAATGTGCACGTAACGCGAACTTATATCTCTCCTGGCAATATTGAGTGAAGGAAAAAAACTGTGCTTTGTCACAAGAAACAAACCTTCCGGAAAATAAATTTATAAGGCTTTTAAATAGATAATAATGCTAATTGAGTTTTCCTCATTTCTCGATATTTATTGTTAGTACTTTTATTATTCCTCGATTTACCAGCGTTTTAACGATATTTTTTTAACAAACTCATTTTATGAATTCAT